CATGTAGCTGCCCATCGCCCGCAGGCTGCAGCTGTGACCCAAAGGGAACCCTGGCCTCCCACTGCACCACGGGCTCCTGCACCTGCGACCGCAGCACCGGCGCCTGTGCCTGCCGCCCCAATGTGGTGGGCAAGAGCTGTGACCGCTGCGCACCCCACTTCTGGAGCCTGGGGGGGCCAGGGGGATGCGAGCCCTGCGGATGCCACCCCACGCACTCCCTGCACCCTGCCTGCAATGCGGTGAGACCCCCAGCACCCTGCAGGGCCCCGCTGCCATCCCGGTGCCCGGTGAGCTGCCCGGCTGAGCACAGCACTCGCTGCAGGTGACGGGGCAGTGCCAGTGCCAGCCCGGCTTCGGGGGCCGCGTCTGCTCCCAGTGCCAGGAGCATCACTGGGGAGACCCCGAGCAGGAGTGCCGAGGTGACTGGGGCACCTGGGGTGTGGGGACATGCTGGGTGCTTGGTGGGACTCTAGGGGTGGCACTGGGGACATGGTGGGACCCTGGGGACATGGGCAACTTGGAGACACAATGGAATGCTGGGGGCATGGTAGACCCTGGGGATATGGTGGGGTTCCGGGGACATGGGGACCGTGGAGCTGTAGGGGAATGCTGGGGATGTGGTAGACCCTAAGGACATGGTGGGCACCTGGGGACATGGAGGACTTGGGGGTCCCTGAGTACATGGTGGGACTGTGGGGACACAGAAGACCTTGGGAATACGGGGGACCCTGGAGGGTAGTGGGATGCTGGGGACATGGTGGGACCCTGGGGCAGAAGGAGGCCTCAGGGGATCCTGAGTACATAGTGGGACTCTTGGGACACAGGAGACCCTGGGGACACGGTGGGACTCTGAAGACACAGGGCATTATACTGGGATACTGGTATCACTGTGGGGGCACGGCAGCCCCTGGGGTGACCAGGACACACCACTGCCTTTGTCCCCAGCCTGTGACTGCGAGCCGGTGGGTGCCGAGAGCCCGCAGTGCGAGCAGGCCAGCGGGCAGTGCCGGTGCCGGCCGGGTTTCACCGGGCAGCGCTGCGACCGCTGCCAGCGCGGCTTCCAGGAGGCGTTCCCACACTGCTCGCCCTGCCACCCCTGCTTCGGGCACTGGGACCCGGCCCTGGGCCTCCTGCGGGACAGGCTCCAGCGCCTCGGGGAGCAGGCGCAGGCGCTGCGGGATGGGGGGGCCCTGTCCCCGCTCAGCCCCCGCCGCCTGCGGGCGCTGCAGGAGGCACTGGGGAGCGTGGAGCAGCTGCTGGGTGAGGGGGGCAGCGCTGGGGGACCCCTCCTTGACTCACTGCCGGGGCGGCTGGATGGCACCAGGCAAGTGTGTGCAATAGGCGATGGTAAAGGGACCCCCATGTGGTCACTCAAAAGGCGTAACCTCTCTCTGCCCCTTCAAAGGACGGAGCTGGATGACTTCTGGAAGCAGCTCCAAGAGCTGGAGCAACATCTGGATCAGCTGGCTCAGGCAGATGTGCAGCACCACGACCGGATAGCTGTGCTGAGCCGCGAGCTGGGGGGTCTCAACCGAACCGCTTCCCACCTCCAAACCCTCCTCAGCACCGTGTCGGTGGCCGGATTCAGTGGTAAGAGCATCCGGTGGGGACTGGGGGGGCTCAGTGGCACTCACCCATCCGAACCCTGATCCCGGCACCTGCAGAGTCCTACCGCAGCATCCTGGCGTCGGCGGAGGGCTCGCGGCTGGCGGAGGCGGTGGCCAATGGCACCGCTGGTGAGGTGGCCGGGGCGCAGGCCACGCGGCGGGCGGCAGAGCGGGCGCTGCGGCAGAGGGGAGACGCGTTCCGTCGGGGCACCGCCGCTGCGCGCAAATCCCTGCGAGAGGCACAGAAACGGGTGATGGGGCTCAGCACTGCCGGGGTCAATGAGAAGGTGAGAGTGGGGCCAGTGAGGGCATAAAGGGGTGGATGGGGGGAGGTCCCCATGCTGGGAGGCACAGGGATCTCCCCACATTGCCATCTCCACCGCTGGTATCACCGTAGATCTGTGGGGCACCTGGGGACCGGAGCTGCGAGGAAGCGCCTTGTGGAGGAGCCTTGTGCCGGGATGATGCGGGGATGCGGCACTGCGGTGGCACAGCGTGCGTGGGGGCACTGCCTGTCTCGGCTCGAGCCCTGAGCGGTGCCCGCAATGCATCGCAGCAGCTGGAGGCGGCGCTGGGGCAGCTGGGTGCTGTGGCACAGAAGGTGGGGTTGGTGGCTCCATGGCACTTTCTGGGGGTCTGTCTGTGTTCCCTTTGCCTGTTCTGGTTCTGTTCCCTTCTATGACACTTTGCGTGTTCCCTTGTGCATCCTGCTTGTTCATGTCCCCAGGCATGTCATTGACATGGGCAGTTCCAGACTGGTTTGGGTTGGAAAGGACCTTAAAGCTCATCCAGTTCCAACCCCTGCCACAGGCAGGGACCCCTTCCACTGGAGCAGCTTGCTCCAAGCCCCTGTGTCCAACCTGGCCTTGAACACTGCCAGGGATGGGGCAGCCACAGCTTCTCTGGGCACCCTGTGCCAGCGCCTCAGCACCCTTTTAGTGAAGAATTTTTCCCTTGTCTAATCTCAGTTTCCCCTCTGTCCGTTTAAAGCCATCCCCCCTTGTCCTGTCACTACATGTCTTTGTCAAACATCCCTGTTATACCCCTTTGGAGATACCTCTTATGCCACTTGTATGCCCCCCTGGCCCACTGCTGCACTCCCTTATGCCCCCTTTGTGCACCCCGTTACACCCCCTTGCATGCCCCCATCTTGTCCTGTGCATATCCCCCCATACCCCTGCTCCCCGTGCCCATGCCTACCCCATGTCCCGCAGATGCAGGAGGTGCAGGAGCTGGCGCGGGGTGCACGGAGCCGGGCAGAGGAGGCCCTGGGGCGCTCCCAGGCCGCCCGCAGCCAGGCAGAGAAGGCGACAGCCCAGCTGAGGGACTTCATCCGCCGGATCAAGGCCTTCCTGGCAGGTAGCACCAGCACTGGGGAGGCTCACGGACACAGCGGGGCTCAGCGCACCACCCTGGACCCACCCTATCCCTGTGTCCCCACAGAGGAGGGGGCCGACCCGGGCAGCATCGAGCTGGTGGCCCAGCAAGTGTTGAACATCTCCCTGCCCAGCAGCCCCAAGCGGATCCAGGAGCTGCTCCAAGAGATGCGGGAGAGCATCAGGCAGCTGGAAGGGGTGGACGCGGTGCTCAACAGCACGGCAGAGGGGCTGGCTGTGGCACAGAGGCTGCTGGAACAAGGACGGGGTGCCAGGCAAGTGGTAGGGGATATGTTGGGGAGCAGATTGTGGGGGTCCATCCCCAGTTGCTGGCAAAGGCTGGAGCTGCTTGTGCCACTGCAGGGAGCGAGCGGAGGGTGTCAGGGATGAGCTGGTGGGGACACAGCAGGCGCTGGAGGTGGCACGGGCACAGGCGACAGCAGCAGGGAGTGCCCTGCAGAGCGCCAGGGATGCCATCCGGGTGGCTGAGAGCAGAGCCAAGGAGGTGAGAGGTACTGGGGCTGCCAGCATGGAATGGCTGAGGACTGGGGATGGTGCTTTGGGCATGCTGGGAGCAATGGGGTCGGTGCTGCTGTGGGAATGGGGTGAGTGCCATGGGGAGCGAGGCCGATGCCATGGGTACACCAAGGCTGGTGCCAGGGGGATGCGGATGGGGGTGTGCCATCGCGGTCACAGCCGGTGCCTGTGTGTGCCCAGGCGGAGCGCCGGCTGCAGGCACTGGAGGGGAAGGAGTCACGGGCGCAGAGGCGGCTGCAGGAGCTGGGGCAGAGCATCCGCACGCTGCAGGAGCGGGACCAGGACACCCACCGCATGGCGCAGCGAGCCAAGGATGGGGCGCAGCGTGCCACTGCCACTGCCGGCATGCTCAGCCAGGTGAGGCCCAGCCCTGCCATGGAGCACAGGGTGACAACGGGCGCTCAGCCTCACCCTGCCTGTGTGCCACCAGGACCTGGCGCAGGTGACGCAGCGCTACCTGGTGCTGAAGACCCGGGTGAGCGCGCTGGATGGGGTGTCTGGCGGCGCCTTGCAGCGTGTGACACGGCTGACAGCCGAGGCACAGGACCTCCTGGACAAGGCCAGCACCAGCAAGAGGAAGCTGGAAGGTGAGGAAGAGTGTGTGGTAGGGGCATTGCCCACCATCGTGGTCTCAGTGCCCACCTCCCCATGCACGTCTCCCCTTATCCCCTGGGGCTGGTTCCCCAGGGGTGGAACATGGAGACATGGGCCGGGGGGGGGGGGCTGTGCCCTGACGGTGCCCCCCATCCCGCAGAGCTGGAGCAGCACTTCGGGGCCAACGAGCGGGCAATGGCAGCGAAGGCAACGCGACTGCAGGCTCTGGAGCAGCGGGTCTGGGGGCTGCTGGAGGAGATCCGGGAGAGAGCCAACGCTTACGCCACCTGCTAGGGACCGGGGCTGCGGGCCGGGGCACGGCCGAGGCGCATCCGCCCCGGTTCCCGCAGCCCCGCGGTCCCGTCCCCTCCGCCGGTGCCTGCAGCGCGGCCGCGCCTGCGAATAAAGCCGTGAGCAGTGGCTGTGTCCGGTGTCTGCGTCCTGCCCGCCCCGCGCCTGCCTCCCGCCCGCTCCCCGCTCCGGCCGGGATCCGCCCCGCGCTTTCCGCGCAGCCCCGAGCGCTGCGCCCGCCGCCCAGCGCAGGGAAGGGGGGAGGACGGGGACGGGAGGGACCGGGACGGGAAGGGGAACCGGCGGGGCGGGACGGGAACGGGACGGGACGGGACAGGAGGCGACAACCGGGCACCTGCTGAGCGCCCCCTTTGCGCGCACTTTGCGCCCCAGTTGCGTCCCCGCGATGCGGAACCCCGGTGCCCTCCTGCTGCTGCCGCTGCTGGCCGGTGAGTCTGCGTCCTTCCCTCCCGCTCCAGCGGGGCCCGGTGGGGGCCAGGGTCCGGTCCCGCCGTCCTGTTTCCGGGCAGCCTCGGGAGGTGTGGGGGCAAATCCCCACTCCCGGCCCCCCTTTAAACCTCTTTAACTGGCTGCTGCCCCATAGGGCTTGGGGGGACCTCGGTCCCCGACCCTCCTCAGGTCTGCGCCCTTGGGAGCTGCTACCCGGCCACTGGGGACCTGCTGGTGGGGCGAGCCCCCCGCCTGAGCGCCACCTCCACCTGCGGGCTGCGGCGGCCACAGCCCTACTGCATCGTCAGCCACCTCCAGGTGAGCGGGATGGGGGCCTCACGGGGACTGGGGGGCACTGGGAGGGGATGGGGACACACAGCCACCAAGCTTCCTGCTCGCAGGAGGAGAAGAAGTGCTTCATCTGCGACTCGCGGCGGCCCTACGATGCCCGTGCCAACACCAACAGCCACCGCATCGAGAACGTGGTCACCACCTTCGCCCCCCGGCCCAAGAAAGCCTGGTGGCAGTCGGAGAACGGTGAGTGGCGGGCGGGAGCGTCCCGGGGGGCTCTGCTTCCCGTCCTCCCACGCTGAGGAAGCGTGACTCAGCCGGCACACACGGACGCGCCCCTGGACCGTGGCTGGGTCGGGGTGGGGGGGGACCCACACGGTTGGGTGCTCCCCACGGCCACGCGTGCCATCCCATCCCCCAGGCGTGGAGCACGTCAGCATCCAGCTGGACCTGGAGGCCGAGTTCCACTTCACACACCTCATCATGACCTTCAAGGTGGGTCCTGGCATGCGGGTACCAGGGATGGGACGGGATGGGATGGGATGGACCCAGGTCCATGCTGTGTATCCCACAGACGTTCCGGCCCGCGGCCATGCTGGTGGAGCGCTCGGCCGACTTCGGGCGCAGCTGGAAGGTCTATCGATACTTCGCCTATGATTGTGACACCTCCTTCCCCCACATCCCCCGTGGGCCCCCACGCCGCATCGACGACGTGGTCTGCGAGTCCCGCTACTCCGACATCGAGCCCTCCACCGAGGGGGAGGTGAGGCCCTGACAGCACCCCAGGAGGGACCAGGGGACCCCCCCCCTTGCTCCGCCCTCACCACCCTGTTGTTTCCCCCCTCCCCAGGTCATCTACCGGGTGCTGGACCCCTCCATCCCCATCCGGGACCCCTACAGCCCTGACATCCAGAGTGAGTCGCCTGCCCTGGGCTCCTGCCTGGCTGCTCTATTTTGGGTGCAGCTATTTTGGCCGCTGTCTCCCAGCTCTGAGCCCCACAGTGGGGTCAGGGCCAGATCCAGCTTGAGGGGCTCAGCCTCCTCCTGCACCCATCCTGTAGGAGCTGCTAAAGGTTGGGCTGCATCACGGTGAGGGCAGGAGATGCTGTGCTGGAGCTGAGCGCAGCACTGAGCAGCAGCGTGGTGCGGGATGGGGCTGGAGATGGGTAGGGGAGCCAGCTGGGTGCAGGATGCAGTGGGTTAATCACGCAGCGCTAAATTTAGTCTGGGAGCAGAGGGGAGGAATCTGCAGGGCTCGGCTGCTGGGAAGCTGCAGTCCTGTGGGAGCTGTCCTGTCTTGTCCCATCCCGTCGGGGCCCTCACTCTGCACCCACCAGGAGCAGCCCCCATCAATGAGGAGCCCTTGCCCAGGGTGCTTGTTGCACACTGACAGGGTCCTATCCTGCACGGTGGGGTGTGCAGACCCCTGGTCACGGCACAGCTTGACGTGCACAACCACGTGCAGGGGAGTTGAACCACCAGGCTACGTACAACCACGTGCAACCTCTTGCCTGGGAGCCAAATCACACAGAGCCCCGGTGCCAAGAGGCTGTGCTATAGGCAGCCCAGTGCGATGGTGGGAAGCCCTCTATGGACTCCCCATACCACAGACAGGACGGACAAGCTCAGCAGCCCCGTGCTGACGGAGGTCCCTCCTCACTCCAGACCTGCTGCGCGTCACCAACCTGCGTGTGAACCTCACCAAGCTGCACACGCTGGGGGACAACCTGCTGGACACGCGCCGGGAGATCCGGGAGAAGTACTACTATGCACTGTACGAGCTGGTGCTGCGCGGGAACTGCTTCTGCTACGGGCATGCCTCTGAGTGTGCCCCGCTCAGCGGGGCCCCCGCCGCCACCGATGGCATGGTAGGGTGATACAGCACCCCATGTGTCCTGCTGGGGCTGGGTGGCTGTGCTCCCTGGTCCCACAGCCCCTCGCTGTGGCATCAACAGGTCCATGGGCGCTGCGTCTGCAAGCACCACACACAAGGACTGAACTGTGAGCGCTGTGAGGACTTCTACCATGACCTGCCCTGGCGCCCGGCTGAGGGCTCCAGCACCAACGCCTGCCGCAGTGAGTGCCACACATGGGTGCGATGCGGTACCCACAGGCTTGGGGTCCCATGGGCTGGGCTGGGGCAATGGGGGTCCTGCATGATGTGTGTGGAGGGTTCAGCATTCTGGGGGCCATGGCTCGGGGCTGGGAGTTGAGGGTCCCCCGTGTGATGCTTTGTAGTTGGGGTTCGGGTGTTTTGGGTGCATCCTATCGGATGCGGTGCTGGAGGTTCTGCAGGCTATGGTTTGAGGGGCTGGGATGCGGAGCTGCATCCCCATGGTTGGGGTTTGGGTACCACCTGCCGTGCATGGTACCATCCCTCAGGATGTGACTGCAACGAGCACTCGCGGCGCTGCCACTTCGACATGGCCGTCTTCCTGGCCACCGGCAACACCAGCGGGGCCGTGTGTGACGGCTGCCAGCACAACACCATGGGCCGCCGCTGCCACCTCTGCAAGCCCTTCTACTACAAGGACCCCGGCAAGGACCTGCGGGACCCCGCAGTGTGCCGAGGTTGGTGCCGGGGGGTGCATGGCACGGGACGGGGTGTGCTGGATGCTGGGCATGCTGACCTGCCTGCCTGTGTCCCCAGCCTGTGACTGCGACCCCGAGGGCTCTCTGGACGGTGGGATGTGCGACGGCGCTGACGACCCAGCCCGGGGGCTGATCGCAGGGCAGTGCCGCTGCAAGGAGCACGTGGCCGGTCCCCGCTGCGACCGCTGCAAACCCGGCTTCTTCGGCCTCAGTGCCACCAACCCGCAGGGCTGCCAGCGTAGGTACCGGGGCAGCACCCAGCAGGGTCGGGTGTGTGGTGTGGCCTCACCAGACACTGCTGTCTCTCCATGCAGGGTGCCAGTGTGACCCCCGTGGCACTGTGGCCGAGGGCAGCCGGTGCGACCCTGTGAGTGGTGAGTGCTTCTGCAAGAGGCTGGTGACTGGGCGCCACTGCAGTCAGTGCCTGGTGAGTGGGGATGTGCTTGGAGGCATGCACGGTGCTCCGGGGCTATGCACAATGCTTGGGACCATGCACTATGGTTGGGGCCATGCATGGTGGACTTGGCAGTGCTGTGGTAAAGGTTGGACCTGATGATCTTAAAGGTCTTTTCCAACCTGGCTGATGATCCCATGATTCTATGATGCTTGGGGCCATGCACTCCCTGACCCCCTTGTCTTCTGCAGCCTGAGCACTGGGGGCTGAGCCACGATGCCCCAGGCTGCCGGCCCTGTGAATGCGATGTGGGGGGTGCCCGCAACAACCAGTGAGTCTTCATGGGGACACAGGGGCCATGGGGCGTCGCTGCTGGCATCAGGGCTGATGGTGGTGCTGGGTATCAGGTGTGCCATGGAGACGGGACAGTGCCAGTGCCGCAGCCACGTGGTGGGACGACAGTGTGACCAAGTGGAGCCTGGCTTCTACCGCATCAACCTGGACCATTATACCTATGAGTCTGAGGATGCTCGGCTCCATCAGGTAAGGGATGAAGATGTCCTCGGGGGTACATGAGGGCAGCGGGTGGCTCTTTGCGGGGTCCCCAAGCTGCAGGCACCACTCTGCCCTATGGGCCTGACAGACAAGGCAGTTTTGGGGTCCCATCTCACAACCCTCCCTTGCACCAGGGCTCAGTGGTGGAGCGTGAGCCTCCCACGGACCGCCCAGCTTCCTGGACCGGGACAGGCTTTGCCCGCATGGTGGAGGGTGGCTGGCTGGAGTTCCATGTGGGCAATGTGCCCTTCTCCATGGAGTATGACGTGATCATCCGCTATGAGCCCCAGGTGAGCACCCGATGGTGAAGCCAGTAGTGGGATGTATTGCCACACTGGGAGCTGGTGGTGGGGCATGCCGGATGGTGAGCCCTTTAGGCACAGCCCTTTCTCCATCTGCAGCACCCAGAGCCCTGGCAGGAGGTGAGGGTGAAGGTGCTGCGCCCCAGCCCTGTCTCCGCCAGCAGTCCTTGTGGGAACACCATCCCGGCTGATGACCAGCTCTCCACCAGCCTCCCATCCGGTGCCAGGTGAGCACCGTGCCGGGAAGGGGCTGTGCTGGGGCTCATAGCAGGCACTCTGCTGACCGTGCTCTGCTTTGCCCCTGCCCAGACACGTGGTGCTGCCGCAGCCCATCTGCCTGGAGCGGGGAGTCTCCTACACCATTCGAGTGGAGCTGGGCTGTGCCTCCACCCGGCAGGATCCCAGCGCCAGTGTGCTCATCGATTCGGTGAGGGGCAGCCTGCAGGGACAGGCCAAGGGGAATGGCTTGAACCTGCCCGAGGGGAGACTGAGCTGAGCTCTTAGGCAGAAGCTCTTCCCTGTGAGGGTGCTGAGGCGCTGGCACA